GCGTGCAGTGCAGTGTCAGTGTAGGTCCTGTTGTGGCTTTGATGCCACCTGAGATATCAGACAGGGTGGACACCAGGCCAGGACCGGGCTGGGGAACCCCCTTGACCCTCACCCTTGCTTGCTGGGATGTGCAGAGAGGTCTCAGTGCTCTGGGACAGAGCCGGTGGTCCAGACCGCCCACCCCAGGGCATCCTGGGCACCCACTGCCTGCAGGCACCTGACGGTTCCTCTCTCTCCTGTGCAGGGCTGCTGGGCAGGGTGACATCTGCATGGTGCTGGAGAGCAGTAGAGCAGGAAGGAGCTCATGTCTGCGCGGGCATGTGGGCTCTGTCCCTGCTCTGCAGGGCGAGATGATCGACCGCATCGAGTACAACGTGGAGCACTCAGTGGACTACGTGGAGCGGGCTGTGTCTGACACCAAAAAAGCAGTGAAGTACCAAAGCAAAGCCAGACGGGTGAGTCATGGCACTGGCTGGGGCCTGTCTTCCCCTGCCTACTCTGCTGACACCTCCATCCCTGGGGACAGGCCCCTGCCTGGCACCCCTGCCTGCCCCACTGCCTGCACGGAGGAGTGGGCAGCATGGAGCAGCCTCACAGGTGCCTGGGCACTGCTTTAGCCCACACCACTGGGTGCAGCGTGGGTCCCACTGGAGGCACCAGCTCAGAGCGAGCTCCCTGGCACAGGCTGCGTGAGCGCTGATGATGAGCCATGGGGCAGGGGTGCTGCTTGCAGGGAGGAAAAGGGACCCTGTGTGCTAGGCCTGCCGTGAGAGCCACGGCCCTTGCCAAAAAAAAAAGTAGAGAAAACACATGGTCCAGCTCCAACCCTAAGCGCAGAGCCAGCTGTCTGTCCTGGTCTCCACACCTGGTCCGTAGCAGCTTGACAGCTCAGGGATCCAGAGGCCACCAGCTCAGCTCTGCCAGCCGGGGGCTGAAGGGGGAGCTGGGGTGCCCCAGGGCTGCTGGATCGGCTCCCGCGGTGCTGCTCAGAGCCTACCAGGGGCAAACAGGAACAGGGCAGATCACAGTCTCCAGCTCTCGGGACCAGCCTGCCACCAACACTCACAGTCCCTTCTCCCCTCTCTCCCTGTCGGTGCTGGGACACCTGAGCAGAAGAAGATCATGATCATAATCTGCTGCGTGATCCTGGGTATCGTCATTGCCTCCACCTTCGGCGGCATTTTCGGCTAGACTGACTCCACGGGACTGTTTGTGTGTGATGGATGGAGCCGCGTGTGCCATGGGGCCGTAGCCGCGCCGGAGCGAACCACGCAGCCCCGGAGCCTCCCAGCAGCATTTCAGTTTCTAATGCATGGTTGTTTGTGACGCTGTGTGTGCGGTGCGGTGCGTCTGTGTGGAGGGAGTGCCGGCCCCGGGGCACAGGCAGGGTGCAGGGGACAGTGATGGGTGCAAGGGGGACCCTGGGGGGGAACCCAAGCTCTCATCACTGTTCCAGGCTGGGTGGCTGGCTGGGACCAGGTGGGGACAGAGGTGCCCTTGGGTGCTGCTGCTGCTCCTCCTGTGTACCTGTCTGTGTTGGCAACAGCCCAGGATGAGGAGAGACCAGGGGTCTTCAGGAGCACAGAGCCCAGCCAACCTCCCCCAGCTTCCCCATCACCTCCAGCCAGAACTTTCATGTCTGTCAGCCACATCTGTGCTTGCAAACACCTTTCCTTGGGCTGCTTTTCTCACGGGGCCCTTCCCCAGGAGTGTGCTCTGCCAGGCGCTGCCTCTCCCCATCCCTGCCTGTCCTGTGGCCATGCCTGGCTGCAGGCCTCCATCCCTGCTGCTCTGCCGATGGCAGGGCTCCCCATTCCCCAGGCAAGCCCTTGTCCTCCTGGTGTGGGTGCAAGGGGCTAGACACACTGCTGCTGGTGGTGGGTGCCTGATGGGATGAGGAGTTGCTGCTTGGGACCACCACCGGTTGTCTAGGGATGGAGACAGGCCACATGGGGACCTGTGCCGCACCCTGGTGCTGGCTCAGCAGGGCAGGAGGGCACGGGTACTTCAACTCCAGCACATTTCACTGGCCACTCACCCTGCACCAAAGCCTCATCGTTCTGTTCTCAGCCCCAGCACATGGTGGCTCTGGCTCCTGCTGCCTCCAGGAGCGTTGTGGTTTGGGGCCAGCTCTGATGCGTGCAGACCCCTGCAGTGTTTGCCTGGGAGCAGGGTTGCTTCCAGCTTCACTTCTCCACATAGGCACCCATGGCTGGGGGTTGGAGGCAGTTAGGCTTTCTCCTGACCTGGTCCCAGGAGCAGCCCTTGTTGCATCCACTCCCCCTGCAAGCTAGGAGCAGCAGCCTTCCTCCTCCTCTATCCTACCAGCTCCCGAGCAGGGCAGTGCCTGACCGCCCCTTCCATCTCTCTGCCACCTCTTGGCATCTGCTTGCCCCTGCCACCTCTTCCTAGCACAGTGCCCTTCTGTCTGTTCATCCCCTGGGCCATCCAGTGAGGCATCTGCACTTGGTGGGGTGCTGGGTGCCCTGTGCCCTCCGTCATGCGCCCTACATGGATGCAACTGCTGTGGGGTGGCCTGAACCTGCTGGCCCCTTAGCGGGGGCCTGTGTTGTCACTGTCTGTTTCCCTTGGGCTGGGGGCAGGGCTCTGCCCTCATGTTCCTCGGGGGGCTCCAGCTGGCCCACACACATGCCAAAGCACCACAGAGGAGCCCAGAGCAGGGTAGGCACCCGGGGCCAAGCTCATGGCCACACACTGGGGTAGGGGCTGGACACAAGCCCAGATGCTGGTAGCAGGAAAAGGGCACTTAGCAGCGAGAACTCCAGCTGCAGGCAGCAGCTCTGACCAGGGTGAGGGCAGGGCTTCTCCAACCCCACGCGCCTCCACCCTGGCTGGGTGCTGTAGCACAGGCACTGGCCATGTGTCTGGTGCCCATGGGTGCGGGATGAAAGGCAGCAGGCTGTAGCCAGGACACAGCACTGCCTTCCCCAGGTGCCGCCCAGCAGCAAACCAGGCCCA